TACCAACGTTACGAAATCCTACAGGGTCACACACATAAGGACAGTTTGATGAGAGATAGAGAAATCAAAAGGAACACCGTAAGGTACGGTGCACTTAAGTGAAAAATAGAAATTCGGATAATATAATAATAATTATTTTTATTTTATAATGGTTATAAAATAATAATAAAATAAATATATTTATTATAATAATAGTTATTATAATAATATATAATATTATTATGGATCATGTGAATTGGGTTTTAGCCCGCAGCCCACAAGAGAGTTTATAAAAGGAACCCTTGTGATGAAGCTTTCACTTGATGCAATTTCGTTTTTGATTCTCTTTTCTCACTCAAATAATTCCGTTCGTAAGCAGCTAGCACTGTGACCGGAAGCTGTTCGTGTGGACTGAGTAGAGGCGTTGCACTTCATCAACGCTTGTGATCGCTGCATCAAAGATCTGAATCGCCACAAAAGAGGTAACGATTCTATCACTGACCATGCTCATTCGTAAGGATCACTAAAGGAAATTTTTGTTTTCCGCTGCGTTTAGATCGCAATTTTCCTTCATTATGTTATTATGATTAAAGTATTATATCGATATTTGAATTTTCGGTGACATGATATTTTTCATTGTTACTCTTCTGGACCGGCCAAAGTCCCAAAAAGCTAAGGCCGAATCTAATTCCAATCCACTCAAAACAACCTAACAAGTAAAAGCCAGCACACGCGAGATTCAAAGTACATTATTTTGATCTCTACTTTTTACTACACTCATCTTGAATTTTGAACTGACTTGGACGTTGAAGTGTTAACTTTACAAAATCATCTACACTGATGCTATAGAGTAATTAGGCATTCCTCAATCAAATTTGAACTGTATCGATATGGAGATCTATTGGCCTTTAATGATTCGATAACTCGCCCTTGAGGAATGACACATTTGACGTTGTCGTTGGAAGAAATAAAAGGCGAGAGGAAGGTAACCATCAACTTCCTTGATATTTTGTATAGATCGTCTTCAAGGGATCCTATGGAGGTCCTTATAGGAAAAACTATACGTAGTGTCGTCCCCGGTCCACCTAAAAATAATGTATCATGACAAGGAAGGAAAGCCAACCATGATTTGCGTCGACCTCGAGGAGGAAAAAGGTATCAAAGAGTCGTCCTTAAGAACCTTCTCACTTCATCGGCAGTAATAGGGGAGGGCTTAGGGAAAGTCTATATGTTTGACTTAGATACGCGTGAAGATAGGGTTTATGCTTCCCTCTAAGATAAATTCCACACTAATTAAACGCCTCTAGAAGAATGCAGATTTTTCACTATTTCCCCACATTATATGCCTGGTATGTATCCCAACAAAGAGAAGGCAATCCCCCGAGAATGTTGAAGCCACCACAAGCACAACGAAAGTCGTGTTGGACGCAAGATTTATTTCTAAATTAAAATAGACATAATAGATTTCCAACGTCATTCTAGTGAAGATAGCTTGGAGAAGTGAAGGATGTGAGTAGGTTGCACTAGTCTCAATAGAGCATGACTAAAAGACTTGCACTTGCTCCCAAATATGGACACAATATTAGACAATTCAGCCGGGTATAGGCTCCTATCACTCGTGGACGCTTGTTTCAAGTAAAAAAACCATACCCATGTTGACCATAAAGGGATGTATGGGAGAAGCTCTAGAGGAATCTAACCCCTTATCCGATTATGGTTTCAGAGTAATCCAGATTGAGGTTATTTTAGATGAGTCCATGAAGTTCTTCTTATACGCTCTTTTTTGAACATGCTATTAATTGAGTTTTATAGGATCGCTTGAGACCAATGTCAACCTCAAAGCGAAGAAACCGAAGGAAACACGGCTCGGGCTACCGCTCATAAGAGACAGCCGAGGACAGTCATCCAAAGACGGTCAGACCTTTACGGTTCTGGATAAGCAAGATAGTCACAAAGACATTAATCTCCCGATATCACCCCTCGAACGAAGTTACACAGGTGGGATCGTCAAATAGGAGCGCCCTCCAGGCATACAAATAGGAAGACCATATATGCGCACTGAAGACAATATCCTTATAGAGCGAAGTTGATCGATTGTCGTCCCCCGACTGCGCAGTCAACCAAAAATCAAATTAAAAAAGAGAAATATAGTACAATTGTATTATAACTTTCTCAATGAGTTAAATATTCCGTAAAATTTTATGCAATTTCAATAATTAATTTTGGACAAACCGAATTAGTTATGAGACATTGCATGCAAATAGGGTCTTATAACCCTCTGCAAGATGGTGTAAGTTGCTCTTATAAAATAGATTCCACACTTATTAATTTAGGACAAGAATTAGAATTATGATTGGATTACAGGGTTGGAACCGTGATGTGGTGTTACACTCTTGATATGGTGTTGGTGTTATTTCACCTATAAGATTAGTCCTCAAATGACTAAATTAATAATATTAAAAAGGAATAGATATGGAAAGGATGAATGTAAAAGTATTTATATCCTTGAATCGAATTGATTGTTGGACCTTCTTTAGAATAATAAATGAGTCTTTCTTTATTAAATTTTTTATCAAGTATAATAGACCAATCAATCGAATTAAATATTTAAAATTAAATTTTATTTTGATTTTAAAAAATTAAAATATAAACTTATTTATATAAATGAATTTGATTAATTTAAAATTTTGATATGACATATTAACCTATTTAAAAAAATATATTTCATATCAATATATTTAAGTAAATATTTTAACACATTTAAATTATATATAGATTAAGAGTTAATATATGAAATTTGACTTTATTTTACTATTTAAGATGATATTTAGAGAGTTTTAAGTTAACTATATATATTTCAATTATATTTTATAACAATACATCTAATAGATGTGCTAAAATTTTTGGTGGCCTAATAAACTCATGTTATTACTCCGAGTGTTATAGTCTGGGTCAATCCTCAAATCTACGGATCAAAATTGAATCAATCTCTAAATTATTCGAATTTATTTATTTGCGGTATATTCAATCCATTCCGTATAATTTTGGTTCGAATATCAGTTTTGAATTTTATGTTTGAATATCAATTTTGAATTTTATAACTTGAAAATCATTGATCTAACTCGTTGATGTGATTTAATAATTTCTTTTTATTTTTATTATTATTTTAAATAAAAAATATATATAATTAATATCTCACTAATAATCATAATTTTTTTATAAAAAAAATATTATCCAGTTTACTAATTTTAAAAATAAATGTTGTTTCTTATTTTCTTTTGTAACATTTATAATTTATATATTTTATAAAAATAACGTGTCTCATTAAATTTTATTATCAAATGTTATGTTGTGTTAGATAAATTTATTAAACATTATATGTGTTTTATTAAATTTGAGTGTTATAAATAAATATAATTATAATTGTATTGTGTTACATTTTTTAACCGACAAAAAGAATCATTAAAAAAATATTTTTTATTTAAAAACAACCAGCAAACTCAACCCATAAATAAATTTATCTATTTAAGTCAATTTTGACAATTAAATTGTGGATTGAATAACGAATTAAATTAAACTCAATCCACAGTCAAACTCAATCCACCCCAATCAGTGTACACAACTACAAGTTATTATAGATGTAAACAAATTTATAATTTTAATATAATTATAGTAATAAAAATATTCATGTATTTAAGTAGGCATGTCAGATAAATTTTTTTTGATTTACTAAACTTTAAAAAAGCATATGAATTACTCTATTTAAAACAAAAACTGAAAATTTATCAATTCAACTTTAAATGTTCAAATCTGTCAAAATTTATCAATTCAACTTTTAAAAATTCCTTTCATTAGTATACTTGGTAAAATACACTGCCAAAAAAAAAAGAATTCCGATAAGCTACCTATATTTTAAAAGCTGAATTGAATACTACTATTCTATTACCACCCCTTGTCCTTGTAAAAGTATTATCAATTCTGAATGATGAACGTGATGGCTATGTTCAACTTCAAACACAAATCTTTTCAATTCAATACTAGTTGAAGAACTTCACATTACATTCAAGTGATTAGGCTTATAATTTATTTTAACTAGTGATGATGGACCGTGGTAGATAACATTTCTTTAGGTAATTGAGATTATAGTAGGAAGAAATAAAAAATTTAATAAATCACAGAACAAAACTTCATTACCCACCAATTATACCTGAAGAAATCAGTTCACATTTCTTTTGTTCGAAACAAATGACATGCCTGGCTCTGTAATAATAATGTGAACAAATAATTGTTTATTATATTTTATTTTGCAAGTTAGATAGATAGCTAGTATCAAAGGAAAGAGAGATAGAGAGAACAAAAACTCCCATGTCATATGATATGGATTGATAATGCTGAGGAAAAATCAGCTCTCTTTTTGGGGGGTAGACCGGGATGGAGCGGCCTATACTTACATTATGCAAATATGGAAACAAAGGCCAATAACAAAATTGCTACCAAACCCCAATCCTCAACAGAATCTGTGAAGGGTGGAACAAAAGCTGAAAAATCCAGGTCCGGTGACCGGAATATCCTTCCTCTCCTACTGCTCCCCTAGTGGATAAATTTAAAACATAAATACAACAACCATTAGGATACGCAAGAGTTGAACAAAGCTGATGAAATAGTTACTAATAAACATTGAATCATAATGACCTGACTTTAAAATATCAAATTAAGCCATCCCTATCTATTTTCCGACAGATTTACTATATATGCGCATTTGTCAAATGTCAACCATGGGCATGACATTCACCAACAGGTCCCACATATCTATTCCTTCACAATTTTCTAAGAAAATTTGTACCCCAGGTCAACCTAAAGACACCATACCATATACAGTACTTATCTATTTTTGTAAATGCTTTGTCAAATAAAAACCAACTTGTCATTTTCCACACAAACGTATGTAAATAGAAAAAGAGAGAGTACCAACTTCACTATATTGTTGTCCTTTTCAATTAATGCCATGCATTGAGGATTGGTTACAGGCTCAGATTATTGTCTTCATCTGAACTTTCCCCATAAATCACCGCATCTTGTCCTTCCTCATTTCCACTACCATGATCGCTGTTGTAGCTACCATCAGATGTACTCATAAAAATTGATCCATCTGATGAGGGGCTGCTAAGTTGTGATAACAGACTTATATCACTAGTCATATCAGTATCAAATGTCTCGACATAGCTGCAACACAATTAGCCATTTTCAAAATGAAAATTTTCAAAACAAAAAACTCTTCATATTTGAAAAATATCTAACCTTCCTTCTGATGGATATTCAGCCACCACACGCATATCAGGCCTTGCTTCCAAAACCTGCTTAATAGGCAAAATGCTGCAACATATAACCCCCAATAATTAATTAAGTACATAAGAAACGACAACAGTCGTTCAGAAGATTAAAGAATCACATCTGATAATCAATACCTAGAGTTGTAGCACCTGTGATACCAGTCAGCCTCACATGCTAAGCCTTCCCTATTGGATATGTCCTGTTTAATGGCAAGAGTGAGGAATTAAATCAAAATTGAGAATCAAGAAAAATTTTCTACTCTCTTTAAGAAATTCAAATTCTTCCATGTACCCACAAGATGTATAAGCAATTTGAAATCTCCTTCAAGAATTGCTGTCAACATCCTAGCAACTTCCATCTGCACATGAATTATTAGCATTTCAGAGACAGAGGTTGAAAAATAAAATAAGGAAACCAGAAATGTGCTACAACCCCACCTCTTTGAGATGCATGCAATCCCTTAAAATTAAGACCTCGAGCAAATTCCCACCATTGGAGCTTCCAAGGTTTCTGACAAATCAAGATTTTATATTTTTTTGAAGCAACTATCTCAAAAGACAGATAGGATCTGAAGGGTTCTTGCGAAGTATTATAAGAAACAACTAACCTTAAGAAATTTCCAGTGATTGAATATGATGTTGAAAAATCAACAAATTTCAGTTTCCGAAATCCCTGCAAATGCAATTTGAAATTAGTAAACCTGCAAATATGGGTCTTTACTTTTACTCAGATAAAAATGATAATTAGGAGAATACCAAGTAGTTTACTAATAATAATGTCACAAACTTTAGAAAGATAAATCTGCCACGTCTTTCCCCTAATAGACACTTTGGCTCAAATGAGGAAAGAGAAAATAAAGTAATTTACTATCGCCATCCTAATTTGACTTAGGAAATTTCTTGACACAGGTGTGTACCATTGCAAAATTATTATTCAAACAAATTGAAATTGCATCCAGGCTATTATAAGGTAAACAGAAATCAGTAACTTTAGAATCCCGTAAGAGAAGAGCAAAAATGACCGCAAAGAAAAAAACAACTAAGTGCATGAATAACTTGCTTCACTTGAATATTAGTCCATTTACAACTCTTCTCCCTTTCCCACCCAAATGCCTCATCAAACATAAGTAAAATGTAGAGATCAGCATTGTATATTGAGGGAAACATATACTACCTACAGTTTTGAATACAAGCAGCAAAAAAATATAATTTATGCATTTGCACTTATTATGATGATATTCTCTTTTAATTTTAATGGCGTAATAAAAAAAATTGTACTCTCCAAAATGTCATACATAGTGACTTGTTTCATAGAAGTAAAAAGGGTTTTGGAAAATAAAATATAAATTAGATGAAGGGTACAATTTATTGAATTTTTCTTATGTTTTAAACTACCAAACTAGTGATTTATGTTGTCTATATTGAAATTGGATGGAGTATATTTCAATTAATGTAATAAAAAAATAACAAATCCCAAGATTAACACGTTGAAATTTTAGTGCATAGGCCCAATTGGTGGAGTGTTTATGGACTGAACTTCAGTGGTCAAAGCATGGTCCAAAAGTTTGACCCAATGGCCATTAGATCTCTTTGCTTGTCAACATTTAGCCTTCTTTGTTCTACCCGATGTGGGACTTGTTATTTTAACATTATAAGACACTACCATAGTTCTTCAAAACCTCCAATGGGTACACGATGTAAAGAATGTTGGAAATGAGAACATAAAACAAATAATGAAAACATACCTTAACCAGTATGCGAACTTTACAATCATGTAGCTTAAACCCTCTAAGAGATAAAGAGGTTAGATGAGGACAATTGTTTACTAGCTCAGAACAGGTTTGCGCTTTCAAGCTGTCATCTCTACCTGATAATTAAAAAGAGATAAGCATGGATATAAAGTGTTCTCAATGGGAAACAGGAAAAGTACAGTTGAAAAAATTATATACCTGTTCTCGAAGACTCGAAAAACAAACGCTCAATCAAGTGGCAGTTTGCACTTACTGACATTAGAGTTTGCCTCAGTTCAACATGGCTAGAAGTTTAAAAAAATTACCATCAATAAATACATTTGAAACAACCTTCGCTTTCTAAAGAAATGAATTAGCAGAAAACATGAGACAGGGATACACATAGAATAATCACATGTTGCAAATGAAACAAAAAACTAATAAAATACAACTTTCTTTATTAAAAATAACTATGCAGATACAGCATATCAACATCATAGTTTAAAAGGAAAAGGAAACAAATGCGGTAATAAAATCAACCAACCAAAATTGAAGTTATGGAGGCTAACGCAGAAAGAATTCACAGGCTAACTATGGCGTATGGAAATTAATATAGTGCATATTCCAGATCACAGGAAATTAAATTCAATATAAAGAAAGAGTTCAATGTTCTTCATTATTAAACAGTAACATCCTCTTATCCATAAGCCACTAGTAGTGAGAAATGCTTATAAAGTTATAAGTAATGACGAAAAGACAGGAAAGACAGAGAGTTGAAGTAAACTAACTTACATTCCAATAATTTCCAGATCAAGGAGAGAAGGGCACGCTGACAATGCACAACAAAGGGATGTGATGTCCATTCTCTCAATGTTGTACAGGTGTAACTTTCTCAAAAGAGCCCTACAAAAAATAGAATTTAAGAGGCCATTCAAAAATAAATCCCAAAAAAGTAATGAACACAAAGTCCATGAGAAACATACCCCGGCGCACCACCCTCCGCACTTAAAGGGTTTAAACAGCATCTTGTAAGAATGGATGATTCTCTCCCTTGACGAGACCTCTTATCATTCCATGAAAAGTTAGGCGCCTCTACAATAGCTTTCCGGACGGTAGAAACCAACGGTTGGCAAAATCCAGGAGAACAAACAGTAGCAGGGACAACACCAAGTTTAAGAGACCTGATTAAAAAAATAAAACAGATTAATGTTAGGATATAATAAGGCAAAAAATAAACCAAAAGTAAATATAAATTCAATGGGAAGTTAGTTTTTCCTTTCTAGATAGAAGAAGCTAAATGCTTTCTAGATTAAAAGTGCCAACAAAGTTTACACAGTAAAGGACACTTATAAAAGAATAAAATTAAGTATGCATAATTTTTAACAGGAACCAAAGTTTAGGGCTGGGAGAATGTAGTACGTCATAGAACATGAATCATGAATAAAGGGAGGATAACATTTTAGATGAGGCAGAACATCCAAACAAAATAATCATCATGCAACTAAATTTCCTGTTTTTTTTTCCTACAATTTTACACATAAAGGCTAATTATAATAAGGAAATCATCTGGCTGGTAGATGATGATTCATTTAAACATTATCACCAATTATGCCCTCAAAATGATCAGCAGTGCAGCTACTTGAAGTTTCCTTGAAAACATTAAATATAACATTGAAGTAAGAGCATCAGTACAACCCAAAATTTCATACCTTAGTGCCTTTCCAGCTCGTTGAATCATAGTGGCAACTACTGCATTGTTAACCTTAGGAACAAGTGTTGTCAAATCAATATTCTGATAGCACAAAGGATCTTTAGCACATTTGCTAAAAAATGAACAAGCAGCAGATACATAGCACAGACTCTGAGTATCAAGCATCGAGAAGATCTGCACATCATAAGACATAATTCACTTTCTAGTACTAAAACATGTTCAAAACATACATAACAGTTTCCCCAGTATTAGTCCGTATTTTCACCCGCCTATTGCAGAAAATAGTGGTTACGCATCACATATTTGACTAGTATCAAATTAAATTCATCAAAAAAAAAAAAACACTACCGTTCATGAACTACATAGATGAGAAGAATATAAAGCAAAAAGTTAACAGCGAAAAAGTAAATCAAAATCACCTAAACTAAAAACACTGCATCATCTAAGCATAAGCACGATTCAATCGCGGAATCGCAAAAACTAGAGACAGCGTAAAATTGAAAATTGCTCGAGAATCGGAGCGAACCTTGAAGGTGAGGTCCGGAGGAAAAGGCCATACAATCGAATTGTGATTGGAAGAGCGTTTGCGGGAAGAGTGTTTGGCGGCATCGAGAAGTAGCGAACCCATTCTGAGAGCGCGATCGATGAGATCGGAGTCAGGAGGCATTGATTGAAGAAGATTCTCTAAGGAGAGATCGAGGGAGAGAGAAGGACGGTCAGAAAGAGAGAGAAACTCGTCGAGGAGATTTTCGACCTCCATTCTAGGGTTTTGAGAAGGACAGGGCCTCTTCGCCATTGATGATGATGAAGATGATGAAGATGGAATTGGAATCTCAACTTCCTCAACCGTATCCATACCCGCATCAATACATTATTTTTACATATGAGAATATAACATCATCATCAGAAGCATCATCATATTACTGTCTCGTGATATGAAATGATTGATTTCACATTCTACACTCACTCACTTGACTTCAATCACACACTAATATTTTTTTTTATTTTAAGAAATACAGTAAAATGTACTTACACACTAACAAAGGAGATACTCCGTCCACTTCGTAGATATGTTTTTTTTGGTTAGATTAAATTAGAATTTAATTTGTATAATTTATAACAAAAAATATAAATAGTGCTTCATAAATGAAAAAATAAAAGAAGTGTTTGAATTTGTTGGATGAATTTAATTGAAATACATTAACTCTCTAAAATAATCCATTAATTTTAAAAGTTAAAGAAATTCAATTTTATTTTAATCATTAATACAAACAAATGATAATAATAAATCTATTATGTAAAATTTCTTCTACGGACAGTACATAGTAATTAGTTTTTTTGTTAAATTTAATTATATTAAAAGTGTAAAAAAAATTATACTATCAACATATTTCATTAAAAAAATATATTCGTATTAAAAAATGAAAGTAATTTATTTTGGAATTAAAAAATACAAATACTCGAAGATTTAGATGAAATTATATAGTTGAGTATTATTTTTATTTAATTATTGTATTTTAAATTAAAATTGAATTATTATTATTAATTTAAAAATAATTTGTTATGATTGGTTTCAAGATTATATTAAATATAATTTAAATTTAAGCTAAAATTATATCAATTTTGTATTGGCTTAAATTAAATTATTTGATTATATAAATAATTAAATTAAATAATTTGAATTGATGATAAAATTAAGAAGAAAATGAGAGGGGAATAAAGAGGAAATAAAAATAATAATGTGAAATTAAATAAGAGCCACACCATCTCTTGCCGTATTTGTTTAATTTACCTTTTAGTGCCGGTGCTTGTCTTCTAGCGCTTCATGTACGATCTCAAGGCTGATGTTTCTCCACGTTCTCTTCTTTCATTAGTAGTTCACAAAAGCTACAAAAAGTTATTCCTTTTTTTACCAAAAAAAAAATTATTCTTTTTTTAATCTCCTCTACTCACACTCACAATGTTCTTTTGTGTTTTTTGTGGTCTTAAATTTTTCTCTTTTGATTATCCAATACGTTGCTAGTTAAATAGATATAAATAATTCGATTAATTTTTCTTAGAACAAGAAGAAAAATCATGTGTTAATTACTCCCTCTCTAGTAATTTATAAGTAAAAAATAAATTTTTATATTTATTAAAAAAGTTTTAACTTTTTGTGTTTTTTTAAATATGTTTTATGAAAAGAGTAAAAATAATTTTGATTGATTGTTGTTTATGAAAAAAAATGAATGAGAAGATAGATTAAATATAATTTGTATTTAATTTTTTTTTAAAAAGATAAATTTTTTAGAATAAAATATTTAAATAAAATAAAGTTAATATCTTTTGTTTATAATTTATAACAAAAAATTGTATGTTTTTTTTTTAAATTAGTACAAATGGTGTATATGTTTTAGTGAATTTAAAAGAAGAAAAAAATGAGTTTTAAATTAGAAAATATTCAGATGTTTTAATCATTTGTGTAGTTGGGGTAATTTTTTTAGGTGGACCTTTTATTTTAAGAAATATAAAAATTTTACAAATAAAGGAAGTGATGTCAATAATTAACTGTCACAATCTGAACGATTTGATTTGATTTGGGATTGTGGTTAGAACGTGTTTTTGTGGTAAGTAAAATAGCAGAAACTTTGACGACGATGAATCATGTGATGACCTTTTGTTTAGTGATAGATGACACTTTAAGGCTAAAGTACTTTATAGTGAAAGGGGGATTTGTGCGTTGGGCGCGAAGGCTATGCGCCTAGTGAAGTAAGGTGGCTAGTGTTGCACCCCAAATTTTGACCTTAGATCTCCATCATCAGTCTAGGGCCATTTTCATTTGTTTATCTAACCTTAACCTATTTCAGGTTTGTCTTTGATAAGATACAGGTGAATTAGGGTTTCGTACAGTCAGGAATCGAAGTCTCGACGGTTTAATCAATCAATGTATTGGATTGATTCTCCATGAAACAAGTTTCTGCATCATCAAAGATACTCCATTTGGGTCAAGTATGAATCCAATTTGAGGTTGTCACCCAAAGATAAAAAAACAATGCAGTTCAGAATCCCCGATTAGGGTTTTCGATAAGGAAAAGTCAACTGTAGTTTGACTTTTGATTTAAAAGGTGTTCCAATGATGGAATTATGGTCCATGAAGCTCATATGGCTTAGTGAAGTCCACTCAAGGAGTTTCAAGGCCTCAGAAGACCCAGAACATCACCAGTCGACTCGGTAGTCATCGATCGATTGTTCGGTTGACCGAAAAGTCAACTCTTCAACCACAAAGAATTTGACCTCAAAGTGTGAAGCAAAAATGTTCCTAGTAACATATTACACCTATCCATGAAGTTTCATGACCATTGGGTCAAGTATTGGGGAGTAATCGGAAAAATCGGAAATTAAGGTTTTGAAAGGGGCAAGACCATAACTTCCTAACCACACATCCAATTGTGTTGGTTCAAAGCTTGTTGAAAAGGTCTTGATAAGTCCTACAAAAGTCTCACAGTGGTCCATGGGCAGAAAATGAGTAGATTTGGAGTTATGGCCAAAATCATCACAAGAGGGAGAAAACACTTAGAAAAATTCTAAGTTGCTAGCATTTTTAGGCATGTTTTCAGCCAACTTTGAGGGGATTTTTGACCTAGTTCCACTTGGAATTTGAAATTTTCAAAAACATTAAAGTTATAGAGCTCCATGAGGGCTTTCCAAAAAGTTATAGAACTCTTCCATAGCCCTTGTGAGCTGAGAGTTTCGAATGGAGCAAGTTGGGTCTGTGCACTAGTTTGTCAACTTGTCAAAACCCAACATGGACTTGATTTCCAACTATTCATTTCATCTATAACCATGGAATAACCTATGATATGATGTGTTAATGGGTGAAATGGACTGGATCAGACAAGAATCCAAGCAAATCTCAAGTTCTTGACAAGACACATTAGTTTAATAAGAAAAAATGCAAAAGTTACACATGAGAAAGAGTGTTTGGGGGCTGCAGCAGATGGGTTGTCCTTGCTCACTCTTTAGTCACTTCTCACAACTCAATGTTAGTTGTTTTTAGGGGACTAAACACATTGGAAGCAAGCAAGAGATCTGCAGAGAAAATTACAAATTGGATTTGCTAAGATTTCCTTCCAAAATCAAGATTTGCAATGCATACTTCATAATCTGTCCTCATCTTTCCTTGCCTATAAATAGAGGTTTCCTCTATGCTAAGCACACACCAGAGCCCTATAAAACCCAAGATAAAACCCAAGCTTTCTCATCTTGCCTTGTTTTACTTGTAAGTGAAGAAAAGGTTCTAAGACATCAAAAACGGCCTTGTTCAAAATTCCATACCAACACCATTTCTAACCATTAAACCACCATAAAAACCATCCACACAAACTTAAAATCATTATTAGAAGGTGTCCTAACCTTTGTTTCCATCAAAAACACCATAAATCCAAAAGTCAACTTCTCACTCACTTAAGTTTGAGTTTTATGCATAATATGGAACAACTCACTACCTAGATCAATTTCCATCACTTTGACACTTGGAACACCTTCTATTTATGTCATACTATCTTTTTGAAACCTTGAACAATAATTGGAAATCCATTTGCTCAAATTGTCCTTAAGATTTGCTTGTTTCTTCAAAAGGAAGTAAGCTTCACAAACTTGTTCAAAAGGAAGGATCTCTGGTTTTCTTTGCTGCTAGCTTGCTCAAGGAGGTCTACAAGAGGTATGTAGCCCAAAACATCTTCATTATGCATCATGTATATGATTTTTTGTTTGTTTAGATGGTTTAGACATTGTTATGTTAAACTTACAACTATGCTGCCAAGTTTTTCTGTTGGATTTGAGTTTGTTAAGTTTTGTGCTTGATTAAGTCTGTGCTGTCAAAAGTTGTAGCCATCTTGAATATATTATAACATTGTAATGTTCAATTTCCCCCAACTTTTCTGTTAAAATTATGTTGGAAGTTATGAGTTTGCCAACTCATGGTCCATTTATGTTTTAAGATCTTTTCTCATAACTAAAACCTGCCTATGATTGTTGCCTATGGCAGCATCAGCTTTTGCTGCCTGCTTCTGTGTTAAGTAAGGTTACCTTGTTCATACGTTATGGTTGGCTATGGCTTTGTAAAGGCATGGTGATTTGGAATTCACCAAATGACTATTTGAAACACCAAGAACTCTGCCAACATGTTCACATTGGTTGTTCAGTTCATTATGCAGATGTGTATGTCTTTATTGAAAGACTAACATGGATATGTTATGGCATTCTGTTGATCAACTTTGTGTTAGTGTGCTTTTTATCACTATCAGGTCTGTTTGTTCATATTGGTTGTTGTTTGTTTTAACAAATTGTTAACTATCTTTAAAATCCTATTTGATTAGCACTTGACAAAATGGTATTGTAATAACCAACTCTCATTGTCATGAATTTGGTGTATTGTTTACTAGTGTCCTATATTTGGAGGACCTGCTATGCACCAGGTTTAATCCATGATGGATAGATTTTGTAAAGCTATCTAAGTCTAGCATTCCTTGTTAAAATTGTGAATTGGTAAATTCATGCTGTGATGGGTCAATTTTGTTTTGTGATTGGAAATACTTAAGTTGATCATATGGTCTTTGGACTGTTCTTGAAGGATGAGTTGGTCAGCTCATGCCTATTGTTTTCCAGTCTTTATTTTCTCTTTCAGAGGGAATGTTTGGCTTGGATTTTCATCTAAGGGGGGGTTGTAACCAAGTTGTTACAGTTGTAGCTGTCATTAGGATTTTGCATAAGGGATGCTATTTTGGATTAACTGGTATTGTTATACCAAGTAGGATGTATTTATGCTTCAAATTATCTACTGTTATAAGATTTGCAGGTTTGTCTTTGAGAATAGAG